CAAAACCACTACCTACGAAGCCAGATCTACATCGACAAAGACCCTAGCCCACGCAGTACCTTCAAAACCACCACCGAAACCCAAACAATCGATTCTAAGTCAATGACAATCCACAAAATCACCAAAAACCACCATACCAACAAACCCCCCCCCCCCCAAACCACCAAATCCACCCAGCGAAACCACCGCCTTTTGGAACTCTCGCCACCCAGAATCACCACGCACCCACGTACGAAACCACTAAAGAGGCAAAAGCTACCATACCAGATCTGGAACGACAAACAAAACCACCACTAGATCTAGAACAACAAGTGAAATCACCACCAATGAAACCACCAAAAACCACTAAAAGGGTGGTCTAGAATTTGATTATGCGAGATGAAGAAGATAAAATGAGAAGATGAATGAAGGAGCTAGAAAGATAGCGGGGAGATAATTTGAGAAATAATCTGATTATTTAGGTGGGAAAAATTCATTGATGATAAGATATTAGGAAGTTGATTAATTTTAGGTTAGTGTGAATCCAATCATTAATCAGATTATAATAAGGGTAATTGGTAAATTCGACTTTAAAAACTTACTATATAAAGAAAAAAAAATTATTGCAAGTAATATAAAGCAACAAAAAAATGACAAATGTTACAACAAATAAGAAACGGAGGTAGTACTAATGAAACATATATAAATGATTTTATTTTCATTCACTTATTAATATTATTCAACATTAACCCTTCTTAATCAATTTGATCAAACATATAAATTTATGATGTGTTAGGTATAATTAACTTGAGTCAATAACTAATGTTTCTACAAACACAATTAATTGTTGTGCAATGTCCCTCTTTAAAATAACATACAATAATCACAAGTGTGAGGAATGTATAAATTTCAAGGAGGGGCAGTAATAAAAATGAGTCATGTGATTTTGTCATGAGAAGAGATATTGAGGAAAACTAGCCAAATGTATATAATATAGCAACTATTTATGCAAATTTTTTTATGGGTGTGAGTTATTTGAGTTAATTGGTTCAAATTTTTGATGTAATATTTAACATAAACATGAGAATATCAATCTCGTCTATGACTCTCTCACAGCACATACATCAGAATAATGAATGAATTACTTTAACACTATTTTGTGATAGATTGGGATATATAAAATTAAAGGATACGTTGAAAAATTAAAGAAGAGATAAAAGCGTAACATGTAACACTAAATAAAAAATAAAATAATAAAAATATCAAATTAAATTACCTCAAACTGTTAGGCCGCCGATGCTTGCTCATACACACACTAGTACAATATTGTACGCTTTGGGCCAAGTCCGCATGGTTTTATTTTTGGACTTCTTCCCAAAAGGTCTTTTACTAAATTACTAATATATTGAGCATCACTATTATAAATGGCTTCTTCCCTTGCTATTTCTTCCATGTGGGAGTTGAGATGAAATTCCCAACAATCCTTCCCTTCGATCAAAGATCACATCAACATCATGGCCTTCCCTCGAACGATAAACCCGATCTGTTCCTCGGCCCCTTTTTTAGTAAGGCCAATACACCATTGGAACCTGCTGCCTGATTACCTCAACTACCATGGTTTGCAAATCACCAAACCATGCCCACCAGACCATATCCACCTACTCCAACCATGAGTTATAGGGCAACCCCTGGTCTCACCCGCTTAAACACCATCAAGAGGACTTTCGAAACAAAGAGAACATATCACCCTACTCTAATACAATTTGTTAGGTCACCGATGCTTGCTCATATACAGACCAGTATAAAATTGTCTGCTTTGGGTTCAGCTCGCACGGTTTTGTTTTTGGGCTCCTTTTCAAAAGTTCTTGTACTTGTGTATTGAGCATCACTATTATAAATAGCTCCAATCCTTTCCTTGATATCTCTTCCATGTAGAACTTTGGATTAAATTCCTAACAAAGAAGTTAGAGAAATGTAAGACGGTGTAACTCGTATTTAAGAGCTAATTGAGGAGAAAGGGTAGGGTAATCCTCTTATTTTTAAAGTGTCCCTAATAGGGTAGAGATTAAATAATCTCTACTCAAGGTTGGAAGGCTTCTTTTTTACCACTAGACCAACACGTTGACATACATACTTCCTCAAAAAATAATATATATATATATATTACAAATAAGTAGACATATATATATATATATATATATATATATATATATATATATATATATATATATATTACAAATAAGTAGACGACATCACATATTAGATGGTCTACTAGCTACTAAATTTTTTTTTTTTTAAAAAAAAAAAACTTAGTGTACATGCAAGTTTTTTAACGGTACTAATGAATATGTAACCGCACTCACTTGGGTCTAGTATAACAAAGAGTAGGGGTATCTATAATTCGGATCAAAACCGAAATCCAATCCAATCTAAAAAGAATTATCAATTCGAATCGGATCGAATTCAGATTTTTAAAAATTTGAATTTTCGGGTGGATCGGATTGACCCTAATTGGATCCAATCCAAACCGAAAACCGAATTGTAAAATTAAGCTTGTATAAATGTGGATTTCTTTGTTTTTTTGAAGTCTAGCACATATACTTATTACTACATAAAATAAATTAGGGAGACTTTGTATTAATTAACTAATGAATAAATGTTGAACTATTTTATTTTAATATTGATTTGGAAGAATTTTATTTATGTTGAAGCTTTAATTTTATAATCATATTAGACGCTAAAAACTAATGTATTATAATTTGGATTTTTTGGATCAATTCCAAATAATCGAATTTTAATTCGGATTGGGATCAGATTGGGTTAGGAGAGATATTCGGATCGGATTGGAATGAAAAATTGAAAATCGAATTATATTTCGGATTGGATCGAATTTGGACTAAGGGATTGTTCACATTTACTGAACTAAAACTGAACTGAAATGAATATTTATGAGAGAGGGAAATTAGAAGCTGAACTGAACTGAACTGAACATAACTGATTGAAGCTGAATTAAACTGAATTAAAATTAAGTAAATGTGAGCAGTCCCTGAATGAAAACTGAAAACCGAACGAATACTCCTAACAAAGAGACAACGACATTATTAACAAGTATTGCAATGGTGTTAAGGTTATACAGGGCCGTCTCAGGAAATTTAGAGACCTTGTGTTAAGAACAAAATTTAGGCCAGCCGAGAAGTGGACCAATTCAAGCATCGCCAGCGGAGGGTGGGGGTCATTGTTGGGCTGAGGGCGGCGGCGGCTAAGTTGGTGGTTTTTATTTTTTTTATTTTTTATTTTTTTTATAATAATTTTTCTAAAGTTAATTAATTAAATATAATAAGAACCCATTACAAGTTGCCACGTGGCACTATTAACGTTAATGACTAACTAAGTTAACGGAAAGAGTATGTTGTGACATATTCATGAAACTGAAGGTTATATATGGTGAATTTGAAAATTTTTGGTGGTATATGGTGGATTAAGTTAAAAACTCAGGGGTATGTGGTGAAAAAGCCAATTAGTATAATATTGTTAACTATTTCAAATCGGAAAATGGAACAAGTAATACAATATGGCCACAAAAGGAAAGTGGAGCAAGAAGTAATAAAATAGGGGGTACTTATTTTAAAAGTGAATTGCATGACTAAACAAATGTTTAATTAAGGGCTTGTTTGACATTGTTTTTTGTTTTCTGGTTTTTTTAAAAAAACAAAATACTAAAAAAGAAAACAATAAAAAGGTGTTTCAACTTTTCTGATGTCAGATTTCAAAATCATCATGATTTTAATAAGTTTAACTAATTTTTTATTCATTATGACATACGAAGTATATCATATGATTTTGAAAAAAAAAACCAAAAAAGAAAACCACAACGGACCTTAACTAAGTGTTAAGGGTATGATAATTTCTACATTAATTAGATATCTAATTTGTTCTTGTATTAGAATCAATACCGCAAAACAGATTGTTAGTCGTTTTGATGATGATAATTAAAGTTGTTTTTTTTTTTTGAAAATAAACTCATGAAGTCATTAATCTTTGGTGAGTGTGGTGATTAGTGATGGTTGTGACACCATAATTGCCTCTGAAAATCTACTTCATATAGATTAACCTTTGAGGCATTAATATTTAGTTAATGACAAGCTAAGAGACACATGCAATATGTGCATGTGCAATGATAACACGAGATTATATTTGAATAATAATAATTATAATTGTATTTATAGAAAAAATTGATTGCATATTCTTTTTTATTAACAATTTAAAAAGAAAATTAGATTTACATGATTGATATTTGTAACTTGTTACAAATTTAAATTGTGCTATAATTATTTTTTCTTTTCAAATTTGAAAATTTCATCAATTTTTTTTTGTTGATGGATGATGATATGTAAATACTATTGAAAAAATAAAAATAAAGAAGGCAAGTTTTTTTTTTTGCTAATAAACCAACCGTTAAGAATTCCACTCCATCCAATAGTTCATACTCTCATTATTTCTTGCAAGTTTATCATATCCAAGCATAATAAATTTGGTTAGCAATTAACCGGTAACCGTACCGCTAAGAAATGGTTAACCGCTGCGATTAACGTTCCTTAATGGTATGGTTACACTTCGTGTTTTATGATTAACCGCTGCGGTTAACTGATCCTTAACGGTAAGGTTACACTTAGTGTTTTTACCCGGTCTAGCGGTTAACCGTACCGTTAAGCCTTAACAGTATGGTTAACCTAATGTGAACAACCCTACTTACAACTACCTTTATAGCTATATTTTGCTGAACACATCTATATTTTATTTTTTTAATTTTTAAATTAATTGAGAAGTGCATTTCGAAAAAAGTCTATCAATCAAAATACCTTTTCTCTTCGTAAAGTACTGTAATTTTATTTTTTTTGGTGATACTGTAGACTAAATATTCCGGAGTAGTATTCTATAAAAAATATTACCTTCAATCGAGCCTAATTATAAACGAGTTACCAACTCACCAATTGTATATATAAAAAAAAAAAAAATAAAAAAAAATAAAAAATAAAGTACGAGTACAAAAAAAAAAAAAAAAATTTCAATAAATAAGAGGATGAATGATAGGTAAACCTAATGAATTCATCCTATAAATACATGATCAATTTTGATGGAGATGATACATGAATAAATATACGGAGTACTATACAGTTACTACCTTTGAGAAACCCACGATCCTTCTATGGCTTCCTCCGATTCTCACCGCAACAATGGCGATCCTTTAGAGGAGGAAGACGAAGAAGAATACGAAGAGGTTGAGGAAGAAGAGGAGGTTGAAGAAGAAGAAGAAGAGGTAGAAGAATACGAGGAGGTTGAAGAAGAAGTAGAAGAGGAGGAAGAATTCGAAGAGGTTGAAGAAGAAGTTGCAGAAGAGGAAGAAGATAAAGTTGCAGATGATGATGTTGAGGAAGAGGAGGAAGAAGTAGAAGAAGAAGAGGTTGAAGAAGAAGAGGAAGAAGATGAGGAAGAGTACGAGGAGGTTGAGGAATACGAAGAGGTTGAAGAAGAAGTAGAGGAAGAAGTAACGGATGATGAAGAAGATGCAACAATGGCGGAACAAGGTTCGAATTTGGGTAAAGAGGATGCGAATTTGGCGGAGCGAGATGTAACAATGGCGGAAATCGAAGGCGATGACAATGGCGGAGAAGGAGAAGGAGAAGGGGAAATCAATGATGTCGCAATTGCAATTGCTCCTACGAAATCGAATTCGCCAGGTAGCGGTTTGTTTTCTTCAATTTTACCATCTAAATTGCCAATTTTTTTTGATTTTGATAGTTTGATTGCCGAGTTTTGCTTCAATTTGTATTTGATTTTTGATGATGATTAATGTTTTTTGCTTTGCTTGCATGTTAGTTGGTGTTGTTCGTTTGAATTTGATTTAGATGATGAGTTATATAAACCTTGATCGAGTACATACCCTTAGGATCAACTGGATTGGGGTGATGTGCAGAAAGTAAAGCGGACGGCTTCCGATCATCCATCGAATATATAGGGTTTGTAAATTGTAATTAGTTGAGCTACAGAGTTCTTTTGAGATCTTCTACATCTCATTATGCTAAATTCTCCATTTGGGGCATTGATTAGTCAAAAGTGATTTGAGGAAATAGATTCTGTGTGAAATTTATGGGTTGAAATGATGTGGCTATTATGGTAAAACGAGCTTGTTGTTATAACTGGTTGGAGTGAAGGATGTGGTTATTATGATTATCTTAGCTTGTTGTTATAACTAGCCACTAGGGCTAAGTAGCTTCTTAGTATATAAAATCCACTGACTTGTTTAGGAAAGGTGGGATTGCAAGAAGTGTTTTAAGATGAATTTTTGACATGTGCATAAGGTGGAGTTGAGTGATGCTTGTTGATTGTTGTTTTATGGCTTAAAAAAGTATTCATTTACTTCCGGAAACTCAAATTCTTAATCTAATTAGACTTTCCAGAAGCTTCTATCAACCCTTGGAATCTATTCAAGGCTGTTGGGTTTACTTGGAATTTATAGAATTTGATTAATTTTGTAAATTTAGAATCTTATTTTCTCTAAATATTAAGAAGGCAAGGTGCTGGATAGAGTATTCAATAAGGAAAAATCAATTTATGTACTTAAGTTACCATGATTATGATGGATTATCTTGGTTGTTAATTTGTGTCCCATGGTTATTACCCTTTATGAAACATTACGCCTTGGCATGGTTGATTGGAGTGATTTGAGTGTAGTTGTATTATGATGAAGACACCTTAAATATGGGTGCTTGTGAAAGGTTGAGGGCACATATCTTGTTGTTTGATCCACCATATTTAGCAAATCTTGGTTATTAGAGCTACAATAAGAAATATTATGGAAGAAAGGAATGAAATAAAGAGTATGAAGGGAATGAGGGATTTAGAAAGAAGAAATCTTAATATGCACATAATTTCCCCTTTTGGTGTTTGTAAAAGGAAAGTGGGGAGCAACCAAGGTAAGTCCAAAATTTGAGGTTATATAATGATAAAAAACTAGGGGCTGTAGTGAGGTATAGGAACCCCATTTGATGGGGAAGTTGGCTATATAAATTGAAAAAAGTGGATGAGTGGAGTTTGTAGGCTTCTTAGGAGGGGCATTTGATGGAAAATCAAGGCATTGAAAGGAAGAATTTAAATCTGAACATTTTAAAAAGGATTGAAAAGGAAAAACGTTAAGTCTGCCAAGCTATAAGGTGTTGGAGTTTAACCTAGTTAACCTTTATGATACACTTTGTTTTTCCATGGTTATTTGGAGCAACTGACGTGTGTAGTGGTATTATTAGCTTGTCATGGGTGCATGTGAAGGGTGGGTAGTCTTGATGGTCTTGGCATTTAACGTACTGTTATTATAGCATATAGGGCATTAAAGCTAAACTATAATATTGGTTTTAGACAAGCATTAATTGTTTACAAACAAAAGCCGTGAAAGAACGAATAGCTAATCGAAAAAAGTAAAATTACTAAATATGATATCATGGTATAGTTATTTATTCATTATTCAATTAACTTGTACTTTTCTTATGTCAAATGATGAAGTTTGAACTAATTGCGTAGCAGCCTAAGATTTAGGGATACAAATTCTAAGGATCAAGAAACAAAAAAAAAAATCAAAATTATTAGGAATTCGATGAAGAAAAACAAAAATCATAAAATGTTCTTTACTATTATCTTTCTTTTATACTACTCTGAAATCAAACTAATGAAAGGTGAATTTGGAGAAGGCGGATTCTAGAAGAAGAAAGAAAATTAAGAAGATCTAGATTCATTTTCTTTAACTTGAATTGATAAAAATGCATACTATACTCCCTTATCATATTTTCCTTTACGTAATTGTTTGAAGATCTAATGCTTTGAATTTTAGACTTCTATTTGGCGTGAAGAAGAAATAATATTTAGATGAGAAGGAAGAACAACTAGATTTATTCCTTTTAAGCATGAATGCATAACTAACCCTCATATCACATATCCTTTTCTTCGTTACGAAGCTATTGAAAGATCTAATGCAGTAATGCTTGCTCCATGTTCGGTGCGAACATTATGTTGACGTGTCGACTTTGGTACACAAGTGATGTTAGCTCTTTTAATTAGGACTATAGGACATAGAATAGGATTCAAAAACATTCTACATTATGTTAAGAGGCTATCATCTTAAGATGATATTAAGTTGATCGTAACTTGGCCGGTGAAAGTTCGTATGAAGATTGACTTGATAAATTAATTTATTAGTTAGAACATTACTAAGTGTGACATTAATAGCTTGAGCATGTTTCAGAGCTGTTACAAATATATTTTGAGGGTTACAAAATATTTAAACTTGGTGTTGTCAAGAACATTATCTTTTTAAAAGATTATATTCTTGAGCTTACTAAGTTTACATTAAGCTATGAGCCCATATGGCTAAGCGTTAAATCTAGGTCACATCATTGTGTTGGATCACCTAAATATGTATCAGGTGGAAGGTGGTCTTGCAACTATTATTGCGACATGTCTACATTGGATAAGCTTGAAGATTTGCCCTCGAAGCACTGGCTCAAGCTCAAATATTAGGCTCGATTGTTACTTAAAGTTGTTGACTAGTCCGTGAGCTATTGGTTATAACCCCTTGTCTCGCCATGGTAAGGAATGAAGTTTTGATAAGTCTAATCCTTCCCATTCAAAACCATTTAGGCTTGCTTCATACATGGTGTTCAAAAAGTCATTTTGATTTAGTGCGTCATAATCCAAAGCCAAATACCAATGAATATGTTTGGCTACATCATAAATGGTCAAATGTAGCCATTAGATGTGTCAAATATGTTTTAAAGGTACTATCCTACAAAACTTTGTTAAGATTTTGCATCTTCGATGCTTATAAGGATGGTGATTCAATCCAAACATTCGAAGGAAAAAGTTATACCCAAGTTTGTAGAAAAAGTATTCAAAAATTGAATTTGGTCTTTGAATTGGAGTTGGATCGGGTTTGGTTATGGTTCGACTTGTGTTCGACCATGCCTAGTCGAGTTGGATTTAAATGGTGTAATTTGAAGATAATTATGCTTTACTATTTGATGTTGCTATTATGGTTGGATTTAGTGAGAGTATTTAGTTGTGTAATTGATTTTATTTGGAATTAGCATTTAGAATAATATATGAAAAATATGAAAGGGGAAAATTTGGACCCTAATTCGGATTCCGAGGTTTAAATCATGTGGAAATGGACTCATTCGGAGGTCCGTATCCTTTATCCGGGTCCGATTATTAAATGGACTAGACTTGTCCATCTAAGTCGGATCCTTTGCCATCCCTTGATGCTTTGAAGATCACAAGTTTGGAGCTTGTGGTTTTGTGAAGGGTGGTTCGGGTTTCTATCCTTAAGCGCGTGTCTCTCCTAAGATGGCATGCTCTTTTACTTTGGATGCTTGGATTGAGGATTATTTTTGAGATTGAATATATTTCAAGGAATAATCTCTCTTGGAGAAGGGTATGCGTAATATTGCATTACCAAGATTATTTGAGTTGGAATGGAGTATAATAAACTCATTTTAAGCTGTCTATGATGTTGTTGGAGGTCTTAAGGTATGTTGTGAGTCTCAATATTGTCAGTGAATGTAGATTGTGGTGGATACTCACGGAGGATCTGCTTTGTGTCAAGGCATTTTAAGCCCTTGTCTTGGTTGTTGTCCATTCTTCTCTTCTGGTTGTTTAATTCTACATTCGTACTGGCTTGTCTTACTGATAAGGTTTGAAGTGATTCTAATTAGAAGTGTATGTTTGGTTTAGAAGCAATTGATCTAAAGAAGATGCTGCCTCATTCATTTGTTTACTCGCATTCTATCTTCATGTAGATGACAACCAAGATGTTGAAACCAAAGGAGGTGAGGTATGCTTGAGATCAGGACATACAAGTGATGTAAAGTCTGAAGCAAGTATTCTATGTGATACCCGCGCTGCAGAAATCTGCTGTGACCGAAATTCATCACCTAAATTGCAGAATGCAGATGAATCGGGGACCCCTTCAATTGATGTTGGGCGTTACAAATCTTCAAAATTGTACAAACATATAGCTGGCCCTCTTAGTAATGGAAGTGATGCTGTGGAAGAGAAACAGGAGCATGTAGAACAATCAATTCTAGTTTCTGCCTCTGAGACGCATGTTTCTGCTCCTCATGCTGTTAGTGATCAATTGGGTAATATGGAGACTGCTGATGTCAAGGATTCTAAGCTGCTTTCTGAGGAGGCAAATCATCATTCCCCGTCAAGACAAGACATGGACCATAAGGACTCAAGGTCTGCAACTTTGATTCTATAAATTAGTTCTTACTGGTAGTTATGCTGTGTTGATTCTTTCGCAGAACAGAGGCTGTATGCTCCAATTATTGTTTATATTGCTAATGCATGAGTTTTTCCAGATCGTGGTTTCCCCGAGTGAGGTCAAGGAGCTTGTCACCTGGCGCTGAATGCGAGGATGGGAGTAAACGACCTGCGATTATTTGTGAGTATTTCGCTAAAGGTTGGTGCATCAAAGGGAGTTCCTGTAGATTTCTTCATAAAAGAGATCATGAAAATGCTACGCAAGTAGAGGGAGGTGTGCTGCTCACTAAAAGTGAGCTTTCACCTGATAAAGGTATATTCAAGTCTTTAAGGAGTGTTGTACGGCTGTAGCGCACCTGCAATTCAATTCTTCTAATGAGTACCTCTATGTTAGCAGGTTCTGGAGATAATGTAGGAAAGGGTATTCAAAGAGAGCGTGGAGTGGGATCTCGTCAATATGAAGATACGGATACGAATGCCTTGCTTGAGAGAAAGGTTTCATCTTCCCTATTTTCTACTGATTTCAAGAATTTGCCGTCTTGTAAAGATGGCCCTAGGCAAGTAGAGGTAGAAGTAGATATCTATAAAGAAAATCACTCATCTGATAATTTTGGATCGTCAGTTGCTGAAAGCAGTTCTATACCACAGCAGAATTTCTGCTCTAGGTTTGGATCTTCAATGAGGGAATTAGGAGTATCTTCTGGCTCAGATTCTATCTCGAGGTTAGTGGAAGAATCGGCTGCTATGCGAAGGCGTTATTCATTGGATGCTCAGAGTTCTGTGCCTTCTTACCATTTCTCTAGTTGGAAAAACACTTCTTTACTGCGTAGCTCTCCCTTGTATTCAGGATCTAATTCAGGAAAGTATTCTGATTCGAGTTATACACTGGGTGGGCTTCTCTCTTTTAAGTTTAAGAAGGCTTTTACTCCCTATAACTGGGAGCCATCTGTCCCCTTTCAATCCTCCTATTTCAAACCTCCAGTAAATAGATCTTCAGATGTTCCATATGACCCTTTTCGTGATAGCATTGAGAAATCTGATATTGGACGTGAATCCGTTAGGCTTCCTTCATGTTGTCAAACTCAAGATGCAAAAAGCATCTCCGGACAGATTTCTCCGGAGTTGCCTAGAAGATTAGAAATTGAATCTTGGGACAAAAATTACAGTGGCCATGACAAAGTCATCCCTGCTGTTGAAGCAGAATCAGCCGCAACTTCTAATAGTGATGCTCAAAATAAGAGTTTGACTGAAGAGGAGAATCCTATGGTTCCTGGCAGTGTCAAAGCTATACTCAAAGCAAGCAGAAGTGTCAATGATGGTAACTCTAAGATACAAAGTGGGGAACTGAAGTTAGAAAATGGCAGGCAACCTGTTGAATTAGATGAGGAAGAATCTAAGATAATAAGGTGTTTTCGTACTGCTCTTATAGAATTCGTGAAGGAGTTGATGAAACCAATATGGCATGAAGGCCGCCTGTCGAAGGATGTATATAAGGTAATAGTTCAAAAAGCCGAAGACAAGATTCTGAGCACTTTAAAACCAAATCAAGTTCCAAATTCGTCAGAGTTGATTAAGCAATATCTGTCTTTTTCCCGTCCTAAAATATTGAAGCTTATTCAGGTGAGACTTTAAAAATCAGCTATACATATTTAAGAATTACACAAGGTGTTCTAAATCTGACATGTATTTATACCTTTTTCAGGCATATGTTGACAAATATGGCAGATTTTAGAAGCACATAATGGGTCCTGGTTATTGTACAGTTTTCTCACCTGCTGAGAGCTACATATGAGACTCTCCTGAATATGACCAGAACCTTAACTTTATAAAATGTCAGTGTAGGTATTTTTCTGGGTGTCTTTTAGGTTAGAACATTTTTATGCCTTAAGAATTTCTTTTGGTCGTACATTATGTTGAAGATTTTTGGACATTTCAGTGAAGGCCAAGTCAAGTGGAAGCCCTTGGTGTGCAATATGTATTTATTGCTTTTTTTCTTGCCATCTTAGTTTCCTTTTAAACGACAAACTTTGAGCATCATTTTACCATATTGAAACCAAGTCGATTCTTTATGCTCACAAGTTATGACATTAGGCAAATGACTTAAAACTATGATTTTTAAATTTGGCATTAAACTTTGAACCTGTGCTCACATGACATAATGTTATGGACATGGGTGTTGTTTTAGCTCAGGAAAGAAGAGGATGAGTTGGATTGATAATTAATGTGGATTTTTTTTTTTTTTTTTTGGTGGGGGGGGGGGTAGGGAAAGAGTATGTGCTCACCTTAACCTAAGACAAAGGACATGTGAAATTAGGGTGATGATGTTATTATGTTAATGAGTAAAGGGTGAAGAATCAATTTGAGTAGGAATGCCCAATACATAGTTTGACATTGTTAGATGTATAATTTGTCTCTAGCATGGTGCCAAAGTGAAAGCTAACTCCACGTAACCAAGTATATGAAAAAGTTGCCTTCTTATCGGAGACTTAGCTTACTCCATGTAACATAGCTAAGAATATGAAAGATTTATCTCAAACCCGTGGCTTCTTTTGCAATCATCACAAACCTTTGTCCACATAGTGCAAAAATGAAAGCCACCTCCATATCAGAGTGGAGTATCGCATAAGTTGAGAATATGAAAAAGTTGTTCTCGAAGAAAGTTACTTGTACCAATTAGGCTATTAATTAAAATTCAAAAATTAATTTATCACAATCAAACCAAATGACCAAGTAAATAAACTCATTATTTATTAAAGTAGTACTAGGTAGTTTATTATTTATTTTATTTTTCTAATTTTTAAATTTAATGTTTTATCTCAACTCTTTTTGATACACAATTTCCATGATACAATCTACTGCCTTCATCCTAAAAAAATGTTTGCACTTTCCTTTCAACAAAGTTTACACTTCACTCTTCTTTAAAAAATTTAAAATAAAAAAAAAGTTTACACTTTCCTTTGCACAATGTTTAAGTGATAAATGGTTATCATTTGTTATTCTAATGAATAAGTAGATGTGCAAGGAATTAGTGGGGGCATTTTCTTATTAATTGAATGAAAGAGGGTGTTAAAGAGAGTCTTGGGATCCAAGTTTATAGTAGTCGGAAGAGAAGTATTAAACTACTAATGCAAAATTGCAAAGGAAAGCTTAAGAAAGCTTAAAAGAGCATTATGGGACATAGTAGATATGGAATGAAGTACAATCACTTTTAATATATAAATTGCTTTGTAATAGAACTACAATCAACATAATGACAAGGTTTTGTTTGATTTATTTGCTTACTTTATATTTAAAAAAAAAAAAGAAAAACCCAAATTATTGTGAACCATAAACCATAGAAAAGTCAAGCTTGCAACATAACTTAGCCAATGTTGATTAATTGTCATTTGCTCATCGAAGTCTAGGAGAGACTTTTTATCCTTGTGTATTCTTCATAGTAATGGTTATACACATTTCAATGGGATGCTTTACCAACCTATGATATGGACAATAGTTGGAATCAAAAGTCTTTTTGACATAAACCATTTTCCAACTTTATTATCAAGAAAGGCAAATCAAATTTTATAGGAAAACTTCTTGTGTTGAATTGTTTTTAATTGGGTTTATCTTTCTAAACAAAGTTCAAAGATAGATCATTTTTATCTTATTTTGCCTTTTTTGAAATCTTCATAGGCGATGAGGTGATAGTTACTAACAATGTCTCTTTAGTAACTTTGTAGGACTAGTCAATTTTGTGAGTCCTTCTCTTTCTTCATTTGTGATGAAGTCCCTTTTCTCTTTGTTGTAGGTGACTTGAAAGTTTTTGTCGTCAGTTCTTATTGCTTGTTCTTGGAAGGAATATAATATATTAGGAATTAATAGGGCCATTCCATTGATTCACATTTCAACTGTAGAGGCGATCTTTGGATATAAAAAGCAAAATGCACAAAGGTTGATGTAGTCAAGTGCATCTTTCCATTAATGGGTTTGGGATAGCTCAATCATGCCAAAGAAGATTTTCTAAATTTTTGTCCTTTTGATCTAAGCTATTAATATTATGTGTACCTAAGGGAAGCAATTCCCTTAGAGTGAGCATATGGATTGTTTATTACTCACATTGTCTTATAATACTTGGGACGTTGTGATGAGTGGGTCCATTTAAAACATTTGTTTATTATATAAAGGATTATCTTTTGTATTTTTATATTGTAAGAAAACAAAAAGTGGGGGAGGTGGGGATAGTGAGAGGAGAGAAAATATAGTATTTAATTGGGTTTTGGGGTTTGTGGTCCCAAAGAGAGTATAACCTAATATTTTTTTATTAGTGGCCCCATTCCATATTTCGTAACGTGTCCAGTATTTTGAGATGGGCGAAAAGGGTAATTATGTCAAGTATCATGGGACGGAGGGAGTAGTTAGTCATCACGGTACCACCATGATTATTGCATGTCTCTAAGAAGTAAGGGACATGCTTTCAAGGTTAGTTGGAATTTTAGAGGCTAGTAATTGGATGACATTTATAGCATATTTATATTATTGGTGTGGAGATTCACATAATGATGATTATCATGAGAGCTTCTAAACTATTTTTTGGAAACTATGGCTATGATATCTCGGATTAGATGAGTTTATAACGAGTTCATCGTACTAGCCTTTAAGCTAATGGCATCACTTCCAGCCAGGAAGGTTAATAAGCTTTTTGCCTAATGTTTTAGTCAAGGTAACAATTTGATTGTTATTATGCTTGATGTGTGCATCTTTTTCTTCTTCTTCGTTCTTTAATTCAAGGAGGAGGTTCATGACATGTCCATCCCATCAAATTGTTCCAAAAAAGGTCTTGGTTCGTGTCACCATAACAATTTTGACTCTTTAACACCTCTTCAAATCAGTTGACTTTCCGAGGCTACACAAAATGAGAGAGCCCATCTAATGTCATTCATCGAGTGTTTATGTCAAGTTTGTCCAACGTTCTATTGAGTGAATAAAAGGCAAGTTAGGAGAGGACAAGGGGTTAAGCCGATCTTCTTCTAGTATGACTATTTAAAATTTTAATATGGAGGTGCTAGCATTCACTCACTTTTTTTTTTTTCCATCTTTATTGTTTTCATTAGCTTTTCATTCTAATCTCCAAAGGCATGCGCTATGTTGCTCATACTCGTGTAGCCATGTCCAACCTGGGTATGTGTGTAATTGTCTACCTTGTCTATTTTGTGAAACAATCTCATGAATTTAGTAAAAAAAAAGAAAAGAAAGAAAGGTAAAAGTGTTAAACCCATGTTCAAGTGTTGACAATCTGATATGGGTACGTAACTGTGCAAGGGTTAGATATAGACATCTTTAGTGTTCTAAGGCCGCATGCACGTACTACACTCCATATTAGTATGATATTGTCCGCTTTGGGCCTAGCCCGCACGTTTTTTTTTTTTTATTATTTTTTTTATAGCACCTTCACAAAAGGCCTCATACTAATTGGAGTATGCTTTTACTTAAAAGGAAGTTTTCACCTTATTTCTTTCATGTAGGACTTGGGATAAACAACCCATTAAGTGTGGGCCATAAAGGTTCCAAAGCTTGGTAATGGTGATTATAAATGATATTCTAACCCATATTTGGCTCAATTCAATCTAGAAGGGTGAGGTTGAGGCCTAGGGGGAGGATTAATTGAGTGGACAATTGTGGCTAGATGATTGGTTGAATGCATTTAGGTTCACTGCTATTTCTGAATTATCAAATTAATTTGATGAGAAATAGGGTATTAAGGCATTTCCATGTGTTTTTTTTTTAAAAGGTTTACTCTTTACCACGGGCTTGATAATTGAACACGAGTAAATAATTTGTGGTATCTGATGTTATATTTCTTTCCATTGGAAGTTGTACTTCTTTGATTTCCATATTGTTGATATATTTTTGTCTGCTAGGAGCAAGTATAACATTGGTTGGTTATTCTTCAAATTTGTTCAACTTGCTGATTATGCTTTACCAAGTATATATTGGTAAGTTTTTTTTTTTTGGCTTCATTTCATCTTATGTCTTGCCTACACTCCGTCTGGTATGCATAGAGAAAAATATTTGGAATAAGTTTAATTCCATATTTGTGCACGGCCTCTTTTAGAATTATATGGAGACGATTTTCATAGTTTATTTTTTCTACCCATGTTTCTCCCTTTTATATTTTATGCTGCCCGTACTTGCATCATGACAAGTCTTCTTGAGGAACTGTAGCTGCCAATTTCATTTGCAGCTCATTGATCCCAAGTCCAATTTTAAGCTGTTTTTCGTTTGCAAAATTTGTTGGAACTTTATGGTGTATATGAATAGACAATAGAGCATGCCTCTCTAACAAAGCTTTTATTATTTTGACTAGAATCTTTTGTAGTTCACATTTTTTCAATGTCTAATAGCAGTTGGTGTCAAAAATCTAATTTAAAATCAAAATTTTTAACTCTCAGGTAATGTGTTCATACTTGCTTCTACGTTTATTACCACTATATATTGGGAAATAAGTTTTCTTATCTTCTCTAACATTATATTAGTGTATCATGTAATTGAGATTGTAAATATCATCACATTCAGTATTCTAATTTTTAACCATTAAGAAGAATATAATCACTTTTATAATTTGAGCTATTTCATTTGGATGATATATGGTATTTTGTTTTGAACTTCTACTGTAATTTTTTTGAATTTATTGAATTTTTCTCAAATAATAGGAAAGAAAGAATTGAAACCATGGAAGGAAGACATTCCCTTACATATTGTGTTGGATATAATATTTTCAAGGGGATTGGATTTAGTCCTAAATAAATGATGTTTCATAATTCTTTTGCTTGCATCTAGACATTGTGTAGTTAAATGGACTCGGGTGTCATGCTATGTATTTCATCTTCTTCTTAATATGCATTCTGTAGCTTATTTTGTAGTATCATGGAACTAATTTGTTGGCTAGATTGGTGCTAACTTATTTTGAACAGCGAGAAGAATTGGTGAAGAGCCATACTGCTGAATATTTGTTTGTAGTGTTTTTACTTGCTTTTGATTGCATCCTTGAGCATGTGATTTGTCTGTTGCCTAAATTCTGGTTATTTGGTGCTATCCGTTATATATGCTCCATAGCATGTATGAATGACTTTTTGAGCAAATTATATTTCCAGAAATACATGAAATTTATTTTAAAAAAAACCTGAAATCATTTTTTTTTTCCTTTTGGAGAAAGATATGTGATTGCTTAATGTTTTAGAGAAGCAGCTTGACAATTTGTATTGATGCAGAACTACAAGAGTGTGTTCCCCTTAAAATTCATATGATGATATCTGTGAAAATTGATGGATTTCTTTCTCATAAGATTTTTTATTTTTTATTTATTTATTTATTTATTTATTTTGGGAAAAATAGTCTAGACAAAGGCTAATTAGCTCATATAAGTTAAAGTCACAGCTGATACAGGTGAAAAGAACGAAGCTTCTGATAATTTGTTTTCGTGACTATATAATTTTTATTATCGGAGCCCAATAGATGAACTTTTGGTTTCATGCTTTATTAAACATTTGAATTAGTTTACTATAATAACGGAGGCTTTTGCTTAATGCTTCCATGCTCCTCAGGGGATTCGAAGAGCTTAATCTTTATTGTCATTCTTATATCTTGACTGAATGTAGTGTCTACCTAATCACACTTAACCTGTCCAACTCCATGTTGATGATGACTTGTTTTTAGAGCCATAGGAATATGAGAATGTGGATTAACAAGAATGACATCTAGGTAGATGCCTAAGGAGTTTATTTTTTTCAATTGATTTTCACATTATACTCCGTAATTATGTAGAGCTTGCAATTCAAAGAGTTTTGCACTTTATCTGCATCCATGGTACCTGAGGCACATTATTCACATAATGGTTCATATTACTGTTGAGCAAAGTATATAGTGTGTCATTATGATTCATTGTCTCTAGCAGGTTTCAGTTTGGCAAAGCATAATGTTTTTAAGTGAAATTTAGAATCTAGAACTTTATTCGTCTGTTCTTGTTTGATAGCTTGAAAGTTGAAAGTATTATGAGTATGCTTGTGCTGAAAGCATCTACCTTCGTCATATTTTCCACACTATGTGCAAATGTGCAATTGATAAATGTGATACCATGGACTTGTGGTAAATAGCTTGTACTCTCTCTCTCTCCATCATTGTTAGGCTAGAATTGAAAATTAGTTGCTTAATGTGGGGAAGTCTATGCTTAGAAAGAGAGGTTTTACTCAAAGTAGAGGAGGCTTGCTCTATTCCCTACTATGTTGTGGGTGACGATTGGCTATATGTCTCCTTGTTGGCTTATGTCAATGAACTGGAGATGTTGATATTTGTCTTCCTTGGATGCATGGTTTGGATGTAGGTGGTGTATACTGTATACCTTTGGTTGACTAGATGAGAACCACAGAAGTTAAGCAGGCATGTGGTGTAATTTCTTTAGCTCAAGTGCTAGCTACTAATCAGGATCGTGATAAAAGTTGTCCAAGTCTCTTACTATGGTTATAAAAGTGAGATATCTTAAGGCAAGTCTACCTTTATCACTTTATGCCGTTTATGGTAAGTTAATATCAAGTGTTACTTGGAGGAGAACATAATTCTCGCTATGCCTCTTATGGAGGTTCACAGTATCAAGGATACTGTCTAATGATATTTGACAGGTAGCTATGTAGCCCTTGTACTTCTTTATCTCTCCCAGATTATTTAATGTCCCATGTGTTCTGAATTTGTTCATAATAACCATGCTCATGGGCAATGCTGCAGCAGCTGTTAATGGATAAGATGATGTTGAAGTTACGTTACCACCTCAGTGTCTTGTCCGTGCAGGATAAATATTTTGGCAGAAAAGTATGGCAGCTCTTATTCTCTCCAATGTTATGGCTTGGTTTTGTTCCTGTCAAAGTTTAAATGTGAAAGAGGTTCTAAATAATTGACCCTTTAGACTGCAGTTGTTTAGCCATCACAAGAATCCTGCAGTATAATGGTGAAAGCTCAAGGTAAATTGCATCACTATTAAGTGCTTGAAAACGTAGCTAGCAGGTTGAATTATAATGTTGCTAGAAGCTGCAAGCTTGCAATTTGCTAGTCAGGAACTCGGCTGCATCTAGGATTTTGTACACACCAAACCCAAATCTATGTTCTATAAAACAGGCTAGTTTATCGGGTATTTTCTAGAAAAGTGTACGAGACATCTAAAATACGAGTTTAGGCTAAGTGTCTAATAGACATGTTGCGCGAACTATAATCCCTTGAGGGACATTCCAAAGACTTACTCTCACAAAATACTACGAGCAGAATTTCTGCAACAATGAGGTTTTACATTTCTGAAGACAAAGCAATTGCCAATTGGTCACATGACTATGTACTTGATTTGCAATGATGTACTGTATTTAAGAAAGAAAAATAAGATGCTGAGACAAAGACATACCACCAACTTTGGAAGTTGATTGTCTAAGCTTGCAGAATATTCAACCATTCAACATCTTATCTTTGTCACTTCATCACAGGATAAATATGCAGATTTTCACAAATTAATAACTTAATTACTTAATTACTAATTAAAAAGTTCTTGTAATGCTTAATGGTTACCAAACACCATAATATTAAAGTTGTTGTCTTCTTGTTATCTTATCAATCACGTTATATAGCATCTTTCAATGAGTTATTTACTTATTTTTAATATATGTCCACATCACTATATTGAATTTCATTGTTCTTTTCAATCAATAGCTAAAATGTTCTTTACTGTATGAATTTACTTTTGATTAAGAAATGTGTATACAAACGATGTACCAATTCAATGTCTTATACATGTTTACTTTTCTAAAATGTTTGTGTATTTGGTTAAAACTCTTATGCCTCACCTAATTAAATTGAATTTAGATGATATATTAGATAAGCTAGGCTTGAATTTGATTAATCAGGGCAAAATCACTATTTAATCCATTTTATAATTTTGATGCCTTTTCTACAATCAAACTAAGAATTTGCTTAATTTTTCCAATAAAAATTTACCGTTCTTAAAGAACAACTTAAATGAGAGTGAAAAATAGCTCAAAATGGTTAAAATTTTCCTTCCAATTCGGGTAATCGGGCTCTTAAAACATCTTTTTTCTTAAAAAAAAAAAATCCAGACCCAATTAGATTTATATCTACTCACGTGACCAAATGCCACATTTTAGAAGGGACCATAACTTTTGATTAAGCTAATACATGGGATTAGATTCCATAATCAAAGTTTTAGGGGGCCACATGTCATCGGCCAACATCCATTGGGGCCCACAAATGGCCTCTACAGAACAGGACAATTTTGTAATCAGTAGGAGACAGGTGGAAGTTTATCCGAAATCATTTCTCTTTCATAGGATATTTTCTATGTGGGCTCCACCATCAACCTTATCCTTAGCATTTTTACTATCTCCACTCCCTCTTTACTCCATACTTCACTCCCTTGTACTATTTGCCTAATTGGCCAATCTAGATCTTTCTTATGTACAACTTGTTAGGATAAGGGCTTAGTAATAATTTGGACTTATTTCACTAATTGTTGACATTTTATATGGGACGGAATCATACTAATTAATGTAAGAATAATGTGATGATATTTTAGTTTTAATAATATGCTCGATTTTTAAGGTAATTTATAATGTCTAACAATAAGTTAATATAAATTCAGTTTGTTTAAATGGTTAAATTTTATTTTCAATTAATTAATTAAATTAGATATTTTAAACAAACTAGCCAATAATCTTATTTTGGTGGATGGAATGAACTCGATCATAATTCATGACTATATTGCAAAATAAGGGTTTGTTCTCATTGATTGAACTAAGTTGAGCTGAACTGAATTGATTAAAGCTGAACTTATTAGAGTTGATCTGAAATGAACTGAATATTTTATAAGAGAAGAAAATTAGAAGTTGAACTGAACTGAACTTATTAAAGCTGAACTGAACTGAGCTGAACTTATTAGAGTTGAATAGAAATGAACTGAAAATAACCGTTTGAGAACAGAGCCTAAATCCTTTGTCCAAAGTTCTCCTAATACTAATTTTTCTAAGCTTGATGTGTTATGTAGCTCATCAAATACGGAGCATTAGAGATAAGAGAAGATATTATTGATTTAAAAAAAGTTCAATTAAGAAGTGACAAATGGCAATATCTTATTATTACCATACTAAAAAAAAAGTCTGTCAAAATCCAACGGGTGTGTAAATAGCAAATTGCTAATGTGGCAATATCATCCAAGATATTTTATCACTAACTTTTGTCTATATAAACAAGCCACTCACTTATCCATTTTTAATCAACAAGAAAAAAATGGTGCTACTAGAAAAACTATGGGATGATGTTGTAGCCGGTCCACACCCTGACCGTGGCCTAGGCAAGCTCAGGAAGCTCCAAGTTCAAAACTTAGCCAACCAAGGTATGCACGATTTTTAGTTCGATATAATTTTATGTCAACCAAACAAGCACGTAATGATTAATATATTTTGTACGTTATATCTGTGTCTATTACGTTGATCATAACATAGAGTGTTATTTTGTGTGTTATACTATAGAAGGGGAGGCGGCGAAATATCAGAGGTCAGTGTCAATGCCGGCAGCTACATCGGCTAGCCCCGGAACACCAGGAACACCAACAACACCAACGACGCCGAATTCGGCACGTAGTAAGGATAACGTGTGGAGGAGTGTGTTTAACCCAGGCAGTAACCTCAACTCTAGGAATATTGGAAATCAGATCTTTGATAAGCCCTCTCAAGCAACCTCTCCTACTGTTTATGACTGGTAACGTTACATATATACTTCATACATGGTTTATTATTACATGTACCAAATACTTTAAATTCATGCTTATTCTTATTGTAACACATAAAAATTCTGATTATACTAAATAGATCTGCCTAATAATTATAAAAAATAATTTGGTTTGGCCAAGCTAAAACCTTAAAGATCATAAAATAAACAAAGGATGAATAAAATAAATGGGTTTAAGAGTATTTTATATCATGTACAAGTATATTGGACCCGACATATTGGATAAATTAATGAACGAAGGATCTTTTTGGATAATATTGGATGATTGATTTTGGACCATGTATAAATTTTGGACAAAGCTACCTACGTATATGATTTTTTTTAAAGGGGTTATGTCAATTACATGTTTCATGTTTCATGTTTCATGTTTCGTAATATGGTGCAACCTTAATAGATCTAAGATCTTTAGAAATTAAAATAAGAAGAAAATAAATCGGAATAGTTTAATTACATAATATTAATTGATTGGAATTTATTTTAGCGGTTGCTCGAGATATTTCTATTGATGTAATTATTTTTTTTAGCGGTTGAACTAGATATTTTATATGACGATAATTTATATTAGAGGTTGCACTATAATCGTATACGTTAATTAATCGTAATTTTACGTTACAGGCTCTACAGTGGAGAGACGAGGAGCAAGCATATTTGAGTGACCAATTGACAAAAGTTCAACTGAGTACTAGTGATAACCTTTTACTATGTTATTGTTACATATCTAGTTATTTGCCTTTGATGTTGCTAATGAACCATGATGTTATTCATGGTTTCATGTCCTGTAAATATAATTATGTAGTGTTCATCGTCTTCGCCCGACGACGTGAGTTTTGTTGTCACGGTTGTTCCTGGACTAGACTTCTTTTTGTTGCATGTAATGCTGCTTTTTTTTAGCTACCTTGTTGTCTGACGTTGTTGGTTGTAATGAAGATATGAACCATAAAGTCGACATTCGTTGATCAAAACCTACTTGTGTTGATTTTGTTTTCCTTTGATTTCAAACTTTCTTGTTTCTGGTAATGAGTAACAAAACATCAGGTCTTTCTTTCCTTCTTAAAATTACATAAATCCATTTTCAACATCAAGTCTTGCACAATCAGAGCTTAATCGCTTCTTAATATGAACCAAGTTCTTGATGATTTTTTCGAGTTTTTTTGATCTAGCAGAGAATGAATTCGAATGATTACAACCCGCAATGAGATTAGTGAAGACAACATGATTATCATATCATAAAATACATTGATCGGAACATTTGGATTCCAGCCATTACCATGAACTATGCTTGAGTTTAATCTGATCATTCTGAAATTCTGTTCTTTACTAAAAACAGGGGATATTCCACATTTCTTTACTAGAAATGAAAGTCTAGATTCTTTAAGAAGCCAAACTTCTTGGTCCATAATCACATTCAGTAACCACAGTTACAGCGAGAAAGCATCAAGCTTGCTACTCCGTGATTTCAAGTTGGGAAATATGATCAGGTGGCTTCGCTTCCCTCTACATTGCTGCAAATCCATGCCTATAACAATGTAACAATCTTACAATACACAATAAGCCCCTAGCAGAGCATCAAATTACGGTCTGTTTTGTGTAACTTGTAAGAAATGATCCATAGCAGAAACTATACATGAATCATAATTACATCACAATTGAAACCTTAGACAGAAATGCCGCAGCTAACCAATTCAATTACAAGCAACAAATTTACAAGGCATTTTGACCAGATAGAACATCCCTCCTCTAGGTCATCAGTAAGCTTACATGGCTTAAAACAGTTAAAACAAGGGTAAATATGTATGCATTTCTTTTTCTTTTTTCCTCTATTTTTTTAACAGCAAATTACAAAGCATCAACAAAAATAATTCAACAGGAAATTGTCCTTACACTATGGGCGAACCAGAGTCAAGAAAGCATGTGATTATCTTGGTTGATAGGCATCCATTTACGATTAAATGTGTCAACACATCACAAAGCTCACACTTCCCTAACTCTGGTTCGCCCATGTCAGGAAAATAAGCCATTGAATAGCCTCTTGTCAATGCCTTGGAATATCCTCCTAAGAAAGCTTCGGCATTTTTGTAGGATCCAAAGAGCCTTTAGTAGCTGTCATAACTTGCTGGGGAAAGTATCACAAGAAAGGTTTTGCATTGTGTTAAGATGACGTGAATTCCCCAACAGCTTCTTTTTCTCATTAATAAATTTTGCAAATTGAGAGCCCTTGCTTTGTTTTCCCTCGTCTTTCCTGAGTAAGTCATCCGCACTATGCAAGGAGGGATCTGGATCAGGTGAAATGGATGGCATCATTGCCCACACTGAAGTAAGATTCTTGTTCGGTCTATCCAGTTGCTGAAGGACTGAGAGCTTCTGCATGTCTGTGGAAAGAAAGGCAGCTATTATTATTTATTAGAATGGACAGCGGAGAAAGGCTCAGTTATCAGCAATGTTTTTCTGTAGCACTTACGGCTCAATTATCTCGATTCAGAATTGCTGTGTTGTCAATTCAAATATTCAATTACATGCAGATGATAGGGAAGGAATAGAGGGAGGGGAGGGGGGGGGTGTTTCCTCTCCATTTCTCAAAGGCACACTTCTATACATCAACAAACTACAGCAAAAACCTGTCACTAGTGTATTATACAGGGGAGCTGGGGAGAGCCTTTTAAGTAAACCATAGCAATAGAAAAAATGATGCCCAATGTTGAGATATACCACAAAATCTGAGAAGACTTGTTTGAGAAAACCATACATTTTTTCAGTGTGCATAAAGAGGACTTCTGAGTGCTGGGTTAACACTACTGCCACTATAGAAGTCATATAATGAAGCATTGAAACTACTTTTATCCACAACAGTGAAGGTTTCCATATTGAATGCCTTATCGACAACAGAATTGATTAGCCATCTATTCTACACTTCTACATGTGAGTGTGTGACATGGTAAGGCACAATTACCTTTAGCGAATATAAAAACTGGTTCCAGAGCTGCAGATGGTATGCTAAAATTCATGTGTGGTATAACTGTTCCTCCTCCATGCTTGGCATTACTGTATGCAAATATTTAAGATCATCAGGGACACCATGCCATAAAATCAAGCATTTGCCGCAAAAAATGCATTAACATGTGTTCGGACTTTATTTGAAGTTCAGGAAAATTGAACCCAACAGAGTTCAAAATACATAGAACTTTTTGGCAGCAGACAAATATTTCAGCACTTATAAACAAATCTTCACCATTTATTTGGTGTAACAAAATCTCATGGTCACACATTTTTAATAGTACAGAGTATAGAGTATATAGCTGAATAGCTTCATATAAGGAATAATTTTTACAGGAATTAGCAGGTCCAGGGTAAAAGAAAACAAGCAGGTTAAAAAGTGGAAGAAAAACATAAAAGGGAGACGCCTTTTTATATAGTCATTTTTTTCTTCGCCAGAATCCATCATCTTTTTTTTTTTTTTTTTTTTTTTTGGGGGGGAAAGGTGGGTGGGGTGGGGGCAGGGGATTATTCTCATCTTTTATATCCAATTTCGCCATCAATGCCTAGAACTTATGCCAGACAATAGTATTTAAGAAATTCCACCACTCTACAGCAGATACTCAACATTTGGGCTTCTAATCATTAAAACAGAGCTTTCAGTAACAAAGTAACAAGATTCATCTTTGAAATATCATGTGTGTCATATACGGAGTACCTTGTCACCAGGGCAATCAAGCGACCAGATGAATCAACTACAGCACCGCCACTACCACCAGGATGCACAGCAGCTGTGGTCTCCAGCATCACCGGGATCTCTCCTGCAGGACTTTTCTGCAAAGCGGACTGGTCGGGTACATGCTTTTTTGCCTTCACAACTTTAGCAACCACACCAGTTGTGATAGTTGGCAACAGGTCTGGAAAAAGAATTATGAAGCATGCATAAAATGAAAGTCTGTGCAGTACAGAAAAATAAGGAGGGAAGTGCATTATTTAAAAATGAAGACTACTTTACATGCAAGACAGAAATAAAACGAACTGGACCAAAGGGTGCAAGTCATAAATGAGATAATAAGCTATAGATTTTTCATATTTTTTTTTTGAAAGATAATAAGCTATAGATTTGAAATCACGGTAACATTCTGTAATCGCTATAATAATGGTACAAAGGGCTTTAGAAATATAATAACAAACATCTTGGCCCCACTTCAATAAAATATATAAATAGGTCATCAAACATAAGGCACTTCCAGATGAAATGATAAAAGCAAATTACGCATATAAACTCTACTACTTACATTAAACAAGAAATTACAAATTCACAATCCCAGGAATGAAATGTTCACATAAAATGACAGGGCACTAAAGAAACGTGGAAAATCCTGGCACTCTTTGTCACAAGAGTGCAAGACTCACAACTTAACTGTTCTAATAATTGTTGGTTATTTTAGTAGTAAAAAATTAGCTTCTATTGTTAGCTACTCGGTATCTATCTATTTGATTAAGCATAATATTTTGTTTGGTAAAACAAGTCACTAGGTAGTTGGTAGCACACATAATGATAAGAGAGAACCCTATAGAAAATGGAAATCATGGTTCAAACTTCAAAAACATCATGCATTTGGAGCAAGATCAAGGATTCAGATTTCAAGGTACATCACAGTGCCGACAAAGAAACAGTATACATCCTTACCACATCGAGGCCCTAGCAATCCATGTCCAATAACAAAAGCCTTTGATCCTGGAGAAGGGCAAGTAAGATCCGCACAGATAGGGCTAAGCGGCTTTGGAACAGATTCAAGCTGAAGCAAGGAGATGTCTAAGGGCCCTTTAGAAATATATACCACTTTAGCTTTACACCAAAGCCATGATTCCATTAGATCTACGCGGACACTTATTTCACTATGAACTTGGTGATTTGGATAAATTCCATGGCTATTACGCAGATAATTGAGAGGTTGGACAGAACTTGACTGGACAACTCCACTTGTCTGCTCCACTGCCTGCCTTAGGGGCATGGAGTCATCTAGCATAAAAAAATTATTTTTGATTCTTGTCTCATCAAAGCCGCTCTGTATAGGAGTTCTGCCAAATCTCCATGGCTCAAGTAAGTGAGCGTTTGTGAGTATCAAGCCTTGCTCGTTAAGAAGAATGCCAGATGCCCACACTCCATTGTTCAAGGTAATAAGACAAACAGAAAACATTGCATGCTCCACTGTCAATGGTACAGAGCAATGGTTCACAGGCTGCTTCTCAATTAAATTAGATGAAGCTCTACAATTTAGGCAATTCATTGTAGCTGTCCTTACGCCACAGAAGTCGCCAGCAAGTTGAGTTCTCTCTGACTTTTCAGGCACCAACTGAAATAGGCCATTGCAAGCACTTTCTATTGATTTCCACGGAATTATAACCTGTTATCCAAAGGTGGCTCCTTAGCTCAAGCACTAGGAGAACTAAAAGTTAATTGGCAGAGTCGAAATACCTGAATTTCAGCACCCCCAGCTTGTCGTAAAGGTCTATTCAGTATACCAACCAGGCATCCATTCTGACCGAAGACTGGACCCCCTTCCATACCTAATATATAAATAGAAGTTGAGTTAGTACCTAAGAGCTATAAATGACTAAAGGTAACCACCAAAGGAGAGGAACAAACCAGGAAGACACCGAATATCAGCCATCAACAATGACCTATCCTTTGACGTAGATGGGTAGCAGTTGGAAATTGAACCCACTGATATGCTGATCCATGCAGAAAATAAAGTATACAATTAGAAATCCAATACATAGTGAAAAATAAATACATGAAAGACAATGCGGCTGGGGGGGGGGGGGGTAGTGATGGTGGAGACACAGAGCTTCTTTCTTGATAATATGCAGTTGTAGACTATTAGTTTCAAGAATCCAGGAGCAAGTGTTTCCCCACAATCCGTCATTCCTGTAAAATCTAATCTGTAGACCACCACTAGCTAATAATTGGTGAAGTAGAGCCAAGCAAATTTGAAGACATACAGAGACAAAAGATTAATAAGAAATGCACAAAAGAGCTTAAGCTAAAGCACAAGATCTCCTAAAGTGAATAGCAATGTCAATTGGACACAGGCGTGTCTCAAAGTGTAACACGTGGAGGCTCTAGAAATGGGTGCTAGATTATGGCATTTCATGTGTTTTATACATCATTAACACACATAAATATTTGCGACTTATCTGTTTGCTAATTTTGTAAATATAGATCTCAAGACTGTCTATAAGCATATGCCGTTCAATTTTCTATTCACTTTCCCTTTGTACACAATCTTTTTTTTAAGAGTAAGTGATTCAAGATTCAAAGATAGTTGAAAGGTCTAATTGAAAGTTGAAGAATTGGGTACTCACATTAAAATGAAAATCCAAAATAACTTAAATACAGCCTCTATGCTATGCCTAGCAAGAGGATGGCAAAAGCAACAAACGGCAGAAGATTTGTGGATAATGTATATCCTCTAAAGTCTAAACTCTTCTTAGAATCTTAGATAGCAAAAATGACTAGGGTAGAAACGCAACTCAAATTCAGACCATCAAAAATCAAAAAAGAAAGTGTCAAATTCTACCTATTAAAGAAATGCAATGGAGAGAGTATTCCAAAGGGAGATCCCATTGAGACTAGAAAATCTCCTCTCTTATTTGAATATGACATGGTGATCTCTGGCAGTTCCTAAAAAAAAAAGGTAAGCCACCTTGTCATCCCATGCAAATGTGATTTGAACATACAAAGTAACATTGAAGGCATTGTCGGACTTTGAGACTTCACCTTATCAAGTAATGAGGGTACTTGAAGAAAAACAATTCTAGAAGCAACCTGAGCCATCATATTCACATTTCTCAGTCTCTCAGTTGAAGATGTAACGCCATTCTTTTCCTGAAAAAAAAAAAATTATGGTTCAGTACTAATCTAGACTCTAGAGAAAGGAAGAGGCCATTGATTCCAAGCAAACATCTAAACTTCAGAGTTTAGGGAATACTTCCAAGAGTACCAACATAGTAGCAAAATACTTATCACGCCAAAGAATAGCATTTTCCTCATACTATAATAACATTGATAAAAAGTGACTAAGAGCAGTCATTACAGCTTAAAATCTTTCCCAAGACAAACCGGAATCAATTCTTGCACAACCAAAGAGATAAACAATTCTTACATTGAATAATATGTATCAACTTGAAGATGATGCATAAATTTAGGTATATTATCTAGGTTAGAAGTTTTAACACTAACTGAAGCAGAAAGGCTAGATACCAACCAACTGGCTCCTAGTAGGATAAGGTGAAGAAAGTTGAGTATGTTTCAGTATCATTAACATAATATCAGATAGCCTGTTTCTAAAAAGTACTTCCTCAACGTAACTGCATCGAGATGAAAAATACTATTAATTCCCACGAATAGCACTTATATTTTGCCATGTTATGTAGCAATGAGTTATCTCCAAAAAGAGTGAATTTTGTGATTAATATCGATACAACATTAATAGATGGCGATAATTACTTATCAGTAATAACTAATAAGTAATCTATTCAAACAGAATTGAAAGCTATAATCTGTAGAGATTCTAGGCAAAAAAATTTCAGACAACAGAATTACACAATTAAACTGCAACCATGTCTGTTTTTGCAAAATTGTTAGGCCTTGTTCTCTTCACTTTAAACAAATATGGAGTAATATTCTGTACAAATAATTAATGTTCAGTAAAAAATAAAAATAAAAAAAAATAAATAAATAGAAATAAAAATAAATAAATTCCATTCGGTAAATATATGTTAAGTTCAGCAAGAATATGTTAAGTTCAATAAAAACAAGTTTTAATCAGTAACTTCAAAGAGCAAATATAATCGACAATTAATATAAATAAGTTTCAATCAATGAAGATAAATATAACCTTAGAATAAATAATTTAAGTACAACAAAAATAATTTAATTTCAATATTAATAATTTTGTCCTCGCTTATGGGATTAAGGTTTTGATTGATTAATAATTTTATGTTCAGCGAAACTAATCTAATTTCAATAGATATTTGGTGAAGAGAAAGGGCCTTAGTGAAAGGACAAATGAGTTCTATACCAGATTGACTTTCATAAAATATAATATACACCTTAAATACAAAATCAGAGAAAGTTAAAAGGCTCCATGTCATAATCAGAAACTGTCAACAACGTGGTTATTAAGCCAACCTGAATTTGCATAGAACCTTTAAACTTTTGAGAGCTGTCCTTATGAGCTGCCAACGACCAGCCAATCTCCCAACCATGCTCCAATGATCCAGAAGAAGCTTCAATTAATGATTTAATAGCGGATGAAGCAGCAGGGACATCCACCTTCAGAGGTTCATGGCAGATTGTACTAAGAATTTACCATCAAAAAACCCTGAGAACTATTCAAGACAAGGAGGCTGACAATAAAAATAGCAAATAAAAAAAACATAAGGCTCTCAACCTGATCTTCTACACTGCTTTGTGAAGGGAATTATGAGCTAAGAAACTGACAAGGAGCACATTACATGATTACATTTGGAACAAACATAGCTCTAATCAAGAAATGGTTGAATGAATACGGAGTAATAAAATTTCTAAAAAAAACAAGCAACATATACTTCATCTAATAGCCTACAATAGTACTCCAATTACTTATGAGATTATCACGTCCACAAAATGGGATCTAAGCACAAAACAATACATCACAAATTCACACACATGCATAACATAACTTCAATAATCGGTATGAAACTAAATATTTCAAAAAACTACACAACTAAAAATCACCAAATTCTTTGCTCAATAACCCATAAATATACTCTATGTAATCATATAAATATAATTATATATTTCTATCTAGTATCGTCATGACAAGTCGGCCACAAAAAAGATCTAAATTCAAAGAAATATGCTAATAAGCAAGAAGAAGGTCACAATACAACAATTCTATTCATAAAAGCATGAACTCAAACCCACATAAAATCAAAAACATACCAGTTTTACAACTTCAGCACCAAACCACTTTGGATTTTCATCCTTATTCTCCATTCCTACATTCACCTAGACAAAAAATGCACATATTAATGAGGAAAACTAATACAGTTATGCACTCAATCCAAATCACAATAATGAGTTATACTACCTCAACCATTACATCGATCCGAGCACCGGGAATCAACTCAGGAGTACCCTAATTAACATCATTATAAGCAGTATAAGCATCAAAAAAAAAAAAATAACATAGCAACAAAATTACAATATGGGCAATGAAATTAAACCTGGGTATTGATGATTTTGGAATTTTGTGACAGAAAAGGCTCAACAATTGATGCAACAGTAACAATTACAACACCCTTATCATGAATTTCACTGCCAACAAGATTATGAGGCAAAAATAACCCAGAAGCTGAAAGGGTTGTTTTCCCAGAACTGTATGACATGACAATCAATAAAAGTTTTAATTTTTGTAATGATAAAATTATGATTTCAAAAAACCTATAACAATCAACAATTTAACAAGAATTCTGAAGGTTAGAACTTACTGGTATTGATGAAATGCATGATTTCTCATCTTTAGACCTTTTGGATCCTATTAAAGGGAGAAATTCAGCACAAAAAATAAATAAATTCATAGAATTGATGAGAGAGAAAGGAGAGAGGAGCTTACAGGGCCATTGATTCTAACCACAACAGAAAATTTCCGAGCAAATTCGACAATATCTGGGAGTTCCATGATTAAAATTACAGCTTATGAGTTTGGTATTGAAATTGTTGGAAGGTTTTTTTGATAAGGGATAAATCAGGAAAACTGTTTGATTTCTTCAGGTGATTAAATTAAAGCTTGTGCTTTTGTTTCCAGGAAAGTGCATATACGAGTACACCGTAAGGTCCGTAACAACTAACGAGTCAGTTGTTGGCTCACTTTGAGGTTGTTTCTTCTTGGTGTATCGAGAAGCTAATTGTGTAACAGATTATGTTGCAGATATAGGTCATCAAATTACAGGCTATGTAAACATTGACCCTAATTTAAATGCTAAGTTTTCTTAGTTTATTTCTTTAGATAAGTTAGGATACAGTCTTAAGAGAAGACTTACCTAACTTTTGTATTTTTCTTTAAAAAAAAAAACTAACGAGTCACCACTTTATATATTTGGGCGTATTCGCCTATTCAGCTCTAACTTTTGAGTAAACTACTCCGTATTTCGTATTTTATTTTAGTGTAACACTTCGAAAAAATAGGTTTTTATGCGATTGAATAGAATTCGTTATTGTATACTGGTAATACTTTTATAATCAACTATTGTATATCGAATCAACTAAAAAATTTTATATGTATATTTTTTTTGTAGAACAAACATCTTTATATGTATATAGGATTTGTTATATAGTAGTTATACACATAACGGTATAGAGTTTTAAGTGATTGAATAGAATTTGATAATAACTTCTTATAATGAATTAAAAAAATTTGATATTATTAAAATATACATTATAACGAATCCAACAATGTTTATACAACAACATATTATTGTTCATTTAATTAGTAAACAAATCAAGTAGAAACCATTATATGAAATTATGAATAGTGAAAAAAAAAAAATTAAATCAAACTGTAATACTAAAAAAAATGGAGGGAGTATTAGCACTTTGTTATACACCATAGATTGAGAGTAGTCTAGCTAGGGCCTAAGGGTTGGATGAAGACCAAGTGAATAAACTGAGGCATTTTATATTCAACTAGCTTTTTTGCCCGTTCAATGCACGAGTTGTTTCTTGGGTTAATTATTTTCATATGTTGGTATGCTTTATTTCTATAATTTAAAAGGAAAACAAAAAAAAAAGTGAGGATAGAATTGTGAAAGAAAATGAAGGAATTCAGTTAGATATATATACATAAAGATTGTGGGATATAAAATGACATATTAATTAAGATTATATTTAAAGTCTATGAGATGGAAAGACAATTTTTATTATAAATCATATATTTATGTAATGCGTTTTTTTTTTAATTATTTTTTTTTTGTTTTTTTTTAATAGATGTAATGTGTAGTTGTGTACTAATTAATTGAACTTTATTTTATTATGGTGGAAATGAAACACTTCACTTTCTTAATTGAATTTGCAAGTTGTAGAATGCATAAAGACTTAAATATAAATATTAAGGGAGGTGACATGTGGCATATGGGGTAATGTATATTATATATATATATATATATATATATATATATATATATATATATATATATATATATATATATATATATATATATATATATATATATATAGTTTTTTTTTATTGGAATCTAAAGGAAATAAGCATGGAGGTTTTTGGTTCGCGACATCCTAATTTTGGAATAAAAAAAAGCTTTTTGACACAAATATAAAAATTGCTCTTAATCCTCGCCTTTATTTTGATTCAAAGGAAAAAAAGCATGCAGCTGAAATAACTCACTTAGAACGCCTTTTAAAAGATTACGTGGTACAATTGGATCGAATAAACCCTTATGGAATAAAAACTCGGCTGCTTGTGACCCTTCAGGTACTGTCTTATTCAATGTTTGCTCAATTACTCTTTTACCCGCAAATGCAATGTAGGCGTTCGATTCAGCAATAATGATATCCCCCAACATACCAAAGCTGGCGGTCACCCCACCAGTAGTAGGAGATGTAAGGATTGATACATAAAATAACTTTTTATTTGATTGATAATCATATAAAACAGACGAGATTTTCGCCATTTGCATTAAGCTCAAGCTTCCTTCTTGCATGCGTGCCCCCCCGGAAGCACATACTATAATAAGGGGGATTAATTTATTGGCAGCATACTCAATCAATCGGGTGATCTTTTCCCCTACTACGGATCCCATACTGCCTCCCATAAACTGAAAATCCATAACACCAATTATATATATATATATATATATATATATATATATATATATATATATATATTTATATATGAATTATTAGAAATCCACCTCTTATTCTTGAGAACTTGTCATTTTCCCTTATTAGGTATTTGGTTTAGGAATTACTTAGTCTTGTAGCTTTGAAAGAAGGCAATTTAGGGCATGTTCACTTCAGCTTAATGTCAGTTCAGTTCAGCTCCAATCATCTCAATTCAGTTCAGTTCAATTCAGTTCAGCTCCTAATTTTCCTCTCTTATAAAATATTTATTTCAGCTCGGTTTAGTTTAGTTTAGTTCAGCTCCAACCAGTTCAGTTCAGTAAATATGAACAGGTAGTTTCTCGTTCAATCGCCCAATTCAAGTGTATTGTGTTCTTCTTTTGCCTATTTTTATAGATTCAATATATATGGATGGTTGGTATCAATTCCCATCGATCCCTCTAGTGTTTGTTTCTCTTGCTAACTTCCTTAATATAATTTAGTTGTCGCCTATATTTTAATACAAAATTCAATTTTGTGATTGAGGCAATTTGCAATTGTTTCCCTAATTTCAGTGTCTTGTTAGTCATTATTCCATGTGGAATACAAACTTATTACTTGCCTATATAAACTTGTTACTTTGATTAAAATAGGTCTTGATTGAGAGTGGTTCCGTACAACAACTATATAGTAAGAAATTGTATTATTGTCAAATTATCGCTCACTAGGTTTTTGTTTTGTTACCACTAAGTTTAAGATATATATATTTTGTCAAAATTTTAATCAATGCGGCCAACATCCAATGCTTTAATTAATTTCAAACTATCTAAATAACCTTAATTACATTTCCTAAAAAAAAAAAATTAATTACACTCATTATATTCAATTAAAACTCATTTTAAACACATTAATGCTAAAGTTTGCTATATTAAACCTCAAATTACAACTAATTTAATTTTTTAGGTTATCCAAAGTTTAAAGTTTAATAATTTGTTTTCAATAATTAAAACCTTATTGTAGATTCATGACCATTAAATTTCTCACAAATAATTATATTTTCGCCATACTTTAAGGAATTGAAAACATTTAAATGAAGAACTAACAAGAATCATTTGCCATATCAATTTTCCTAAGTCACACGCAATTAATATTAGAGTTTCGAATTGGGGATATATTAATTTAATAATAATAATAATAAGTTTACGGCCAGGTTTTTCAAATCCATGCTAAATTATAGAATTCGAACATGCTTAAATTCATTTGCGATTTCAATGTGCATTTTTAGCACTCAATATACACTCTAATAAAATTTGTATTAAATTTTCAAATTTCAATTTATGCTTAATTTAGTCATAAATAACTGAAATAGTTGAATGTAAGCCCCACAGTAGAAAATTTTTAAAAAATTGGTCATATGGTATTAGTATAACACAAAAAAAGTAAAAAAAAAGGGTAGTAGTTTACAATAAAATTAAATGGAAAAATTGTCCGGAATAATCCGACCTTTGGGCCGTCCGTTAAAAATAATCCCACCTTTGGATTATTTTTAAATAATTCGACCTTTATACCCAATCCGCTGTCAATGGTCCCAAGTAACTTGAAACCGGTTAAACAGGTTACTACTTGTGACTTGGGATTGTTATACACGTGTCACCACGTGATTGGTCAAAAATTAAAAAAATAATAATAAATAAAAATAATTGAAATTTTTTTTTTAAAAAAAAAAGGCTACCCTCTCCGGCAGACCTACCACCGGAACCACCTCCCTACCCACCCACCCACCGAAACCACCTCCCCACCGAAATCGTCCCGGCCCCCTTCCCTAGCCCACCACCTGAAACCCCATCCTTTCCCATTCTTAACACCGAATAATAATACCCATCACGGCCATCAGGAGAATCGAAACATTGCTGAAATACCATCTCCCTTGAGGTTTCAGGGCTGGAAAAGGGGAGGTGATGGGATTTCGGGATTTAGGAAGGGGAGTATGTATGCGGGCTTCGGGTGATTGGGCTAGGTAGGAGAGGTGGTTTCGTCGTTTCGTTAGTGGGCTAGGGAAGGGGGGTGGTCGAAATCGGGGAGGATAGAATTGATGGGGTGACCGGAAACGAGGAGGGGAATGGAGGGGATGGCCGGAATCGGGAAGAGGAGGGGAGTTGATGGACGAATCGGGGAGGTAGATTGTGGATGGGTAGGAGGGACGCCGTGGGCAGGGGCGGCTGCCGGAATCTGGGCGGGGGTTTTATTTTATTTTTCTGTTTTTTACTTATTTTTATTTCTTTTCCTATTTTTATTTCTATTTTTTTTTACCATTTATTGGCTGACACTTGTCAAGTAACTTGTAATAACAAGTTGGATGACCGATTAGGACCATTTAAAGAGAAGAGGTATAAAGGTCGGATTATTTGAAAATAATCCAAAGGTGGAATTATTTTTAGCGGACGGCCCAAAGGTCGGATTGTTTCGGGCAATTTTTTCAAATTAAATTATATAAGACATAAATTTGCAAAAATTATAAATGGTAACTAAAAAGTACTTGTTAACCGGAAAAAAAGTTCATATAACACCTTACTGAAAAAACTTCTCATATGTCACCCATCGTAATAAGACTGCTCCAAACCAACAACACATAATTGTGGAGTATCTTCATATACTCCATGTGAGATTTTTTTTTTTAAAAAAAATTAAAAAAAAAAAAAAAACTCTTATTGGTATGGGTAGGACATTACATCTCTTTAAAGCAATCATGAGAAGCATATATTATACATCCCCACTTGAGGACAGTGACGGTGAAGTTGAGCTTGAAAAACTGCCAACATATTTTAGTAAAGTTGGTGGTATATAGTTCAAGAACAGAAATTGCCCACAAATTTGGTTGAAGTTGTTGGTATAGCCCTACAATCCCCCCTATTAGGTGATTAACTTGGGTTCTTAAATCCACAAAATCAACAATGTTACAAAGTTGCTCTGATACCAATACAACACATTAT